TTTCTACTTTGAAATTGTTAGTTATTGGAACTGCTACTAAACCGCACATGATTGCAGTCTTCCTGTCTATATTGTTCATGCAACCGTTAAGCAACTACCTCTGTGCCAACTAACTGCTGAGCAATAGAACAGTAAAGTTTAACGTTTCTACAACTAGAGATCAACCCAAAAAGCCTTCAGTGAATTTTGTTGTTCTTGGAAAGCCTATCCTCACCTTATAAAATGAGATATTGAAGTTTTAATTCCACATACAATAGCTAAACACAATTAAAACTGCCCATATTTTAAGTGCAATTTTTGTTACTGAACGCATTAATTTAAAAGTACATAATGTCTCTATCACAAATGTATTTTTTAATATCTTGAAGTTGTATTTCAATCATTTATTTCTTTTGCAATGCTACATATTTTATTTTATGCATTTAAAAACATCATACTATGAGGAAGGTTATTATAGGCTTCACTAGATTTCCAAAGGAATTCACAGCACAAAAAATCTTAAAACAACTCTGGTCTAGAAGCTTATATAACATATGAAAATCCTCAGAATCTCAGAGTAGGAAAAACTTATTAAATAGGACTCAGAAAAACACTGATATATTTGACATTAAAATCAAATATCTCTATTCATCAAAAGATACCATTAAGAGAATGAATGAGCAACTAATGGAGTGGGAGAAGATCTTTGCAAAACATGTAACTGACAAAAAGCTCATATCCATAATAAAGAACTCCTACAAATCAACAAAACACCAAAAACTATTTTAAAAATGGGTAAGGAGCTTGCCCAGTTACTTTCTTTTAAATCAGTCATCCAAATACCCAATAAATAAATGAAAAGGTATTTAGCCTCATTAATAATCAGGGAAATGCACTTTAAAACTACAAGGAGGCCAGGCACAGTGGCTCACACCTGTAATCCCAACACTTAGGGAGTCCAAAACAGAAGGATCACTTGAGGCCAGGAGTTCACAACCAGCCTGGGCAACATAAGGAGATCCCATCTCTACCAAAAAAATAAATAAATAAAACTTAGCCAGCCACGGTGGGCATGCCTGTAGTCCCAGCTACTCATGAGGCTGAGGCAGGAGGATTGCTTGAGCCCAGGAGTTCAAGGTTACAGTGAGCTATGATCAACTAACATACTATGTAAATGTGTGTGTGTATATACATACATACACACACACGTCACATATAACATATAACCAAGCAATTCTATTCCTATGTATATACCCAAGAGAAATCCACACAAGAGCCTAACAAACATGTATAAGACATCTGCTGCAGCATTATTTAATACATGTCAGAATGGCATGGCATATCAGTGGGAAAAGAAAGAACTATTCAGTAAATGTTATTGAGACAATTTTCATTTGGATTAGGGACTAAATTATAAGAGATTAAATTTTATGATTTTAGGAGAAAATAGAATACTTTTATAGCATCATAGTAAGAAACTTTCCTAAACAAGATTCAAACTACATTTAACCCACAATATATTGTGGATATTTTTGTAAAATCTTTGTACTTCAATAGTAGATACTGAAATATTTACAGACGAAAGACATCAGTGACACAAGCCTAAATAACCCAACTGGGGGAGAAGTAGTACAGATGAAATAAGATTGGCTGAGTGATAACTGCTGAAGCTAAGTGATGGATACAGAGGAGTTCAGTACATTTCTGTTAATGATTGAAGAAAATTTTTTTAAATTTAAGTCATCACAAATAAAGGGAAAAGAGACTACTGGGCAACATAATGAAACCTTATTTCTACAAAAAAAAAAAAAAAACAAGCAAACAACAAAAAAAACTAGTGCACACCTAGATGGTGCACACCTGTAGTCCCATCTGAGGTAGGAGGACTGCCTGAGCCCAGGAGGTCGACACTGCAATGAGTTGTGATTGTGCCACTGCACGCCAGCCCGGGCGACAAATTGAGACTCAGTCTCAAAAAAATAAAAAGAAAGAAAAAGAAAAACACAAACTCTGTGAAGTTCAAAACTGTGGAAAACTAAATATTATCTTATTTGGGAATTTAGATGAATGAAACTTTTTTAAATAAAATAATAAACATGACAATCAGGATTCTGGTTGTCTGGGGTGGGAGGAGAGGAAGGAGATGCATGGAGAAAGATGAAGGACCCATTTGTTTCATGTTCTTTGACTCAAGTTGAGGAGTAGGGTACATGTGTATTTGTTTAATTGTTTATTATATCTTATACAACATGTTTTATATATACTTTTTTAATTTATGAAATATTTTGTAATTTTAAAAAAATCAGAGAATTTTAAAACCTCTTAAAAATTAAAAATTTAATAGCAGAAAAAAATTACTTTGAAGTTACATCTGAAAAGTCCCCCAGAAATTAAAAGAAAAAGATGAGCAAGTGGAAAACAGTAAAGGGGGAAAATACTAAAATACAGAATTAACGTAAAAGTACCCATAACTGAATAAGAAAAGATCCAGAGAAAGAAGGACATAATACAAAAGAAATAATATAAAATAATCTCTCAGAATTGAAAGACATGAGTTTCAGATTTAACAGGTCCCCCAGATGTTGTGGTGTTAGTTGGATAGTGTGCTTTGGCTTTGGTTCTGGGTGGGAGAAGAAGAGTCGTCTTCATACAATTTCTTCAGCCACTTTTATTCTTCAGTGTCAGCACTTCACTTTCATTCTTTGTCAGTGTCAGCAGTGTCTGTGAGTTACTCATTGTCTTAGGTTGTGGTTGGTAGCAGAGACTGTGGTGAGGCTTTGCTGCAGACAGGGACACCAGACAGGCCAGTTCTGGGGCACACGTGGTGGCAGAGGCAGGCCAGGCATGCTGGCCCTTGGACTCCCAGGCAGCATACATGGACACCAGCAGTCACAGGTCCAGGAGGACCAGTCCTTGGGCCTACAGTCAGCTTGCTCAGGTGCCAGTGGTTATGGAAAACAGCACGGAGTTTTCTCCAAAAAACAAAACTAGAACTATCATACAATTCATCAATCCCACTACTGGGTATTTATCCAAAACAAAGAAAATCAGTATATCAAAGGGATAGCTCCACTCCCATGTTTACTGCAACACTATTCACAATAGCCAAGATATAGAATCAACCTAGATGCCCATCAGTAAATGAAGGGATAAATGAAATGTAGTAAATATACACAGTGGAATACTATTGGGGTGTACAAAGGACAAAATCCTATAATTTGTAGTAACACAAATGGTCATTATGTTACGTGAAATAAGACAAGTACAGAAAGAAAAAATACCACATTTTCTCAATTTTATGTGACAGCTAAAAAAGGAGATGAGAAGTTGGTTAATTGGTGCAAATACACAGATAGATGGAATAAGTTATAGTGGTCAACAGTACAGTAGGGTGGCTATGGTTAACAATAATATATTCTATATTTCTTTTTTTTTTTTTTTAGACAAAGGCTTACTCTTTCGCCCAGGGCTGGAGTGCAGTGGCGCATCTCAGCTCACTGCAAGCTCTGCCTCCCGGGTTCACGCCATTCTCCTGCCCCAGCCTCCCCAGTAGCTGGGACTACAGGCCCCCACCGCCACGCCCGGCTAATTTTTTTTGTATTTTTTTTTTTAGTAGAGACGGGGTTTCACCATGTTAGCCAGGATGGTCTCGATCTCCTGACCTCGTGATCCGCCTGCCTCAGCCTCCCAAAGTGCTGGGATTACAGGCGTGAGCCACTGTGCCCGGCCTGTATATTTCAATTAACTAGAATATTTGAAATGTTCCCAACACAGAAAGAGATAAACATTTGAGGTGATGGATATCCTAAATACTCTAATTTGACCATCATTACACATTACACATGTATCAAAATATCACATGTATCCCACATATATATCAATAAAAAAAGTTTACTGAGATATAAGATGGAGGGTCAGTGATTTTCAACCCAATTCTATGCCCAAGAAAATCAAGCATAAGAAAAAAATCTTTCAGACATGTAAGGCCTGAGAAGTGTTTTTTCCTATTCACCTTTCTTCAGGAACCTATTGGGGGATATCGCCATCAAAACAAGAAAAAAGGAAGATAAATGATGCCAAGAAACAGAAAATTCAACATAGGAGAGAGGCAAAGAGAATTTCCCAAAGTTGGTAAAATAAAACCCGAAAATGGTAGCTCTGCTATTTTAGACTGGTAGAGCAATTAAGCTGAATGAGAGCAAAGAGAACTCATGTTCCCAGAACACCACCTATGTGGGATTATACTGAGAAAAAAGTCAAAGCAGTTCTAAGGATGAATTAGGTATATACGGAAAAAAGCAAACCATAAAACAAAGTAATTATTATCTCCAAAGTAATTACCATTAAGAATATTCTGTACAATCTTAATAATGTAAACAATAACTATGATTCACCCAAAATCATGAGATACCTACATCAGTAAGATAGGAGCAAGTGAAACGAATATGTGTATGTATTAGATTTGAAGATGAGGTTGGGGATATCAACCCCTCCCCTTTATCAAGCTAAAGGCTCAGCTTCTACAGTGGGAAGGCAAAAAGTAATTCACATAACTCAGGGGGCTGGGCAGAGAGAATCAAGAAATGGGAGCACCTCAAGCTACTCAAGGACATGGAAGGAAATATCAAAATATTCAACTTGACAAATAATTGCCTCCTGGACACAGGAATTAGCGTGGGAATAATGAGGCAAGGAGTACATCTTCTCATTGTGAATCCAGTATTATTTTACTTTTTAAGTTAATGTACATATGCTATTTTTAAACACAAAATTTAGTTTTTAAAAATGCAAATGAGCCAAGGTCAAATAAGAATAACACAAATAGCCATTATTTCCCTAGTGCCTACAACCTGTGAGCACAACACCAGGTCTTTTACAAACACCACTTGTATTCTTCAGGCCAGCTTTGCCAAGGAGGATTAGCCCAGTTTTACAGATGAAAAAACTGAAAATAAAAATAAATAAGGAATATTTTTAATTATTTTATTGTTTCTTTCATATGTTTTTGTTTGATCCTTTACCTTTCCAGCAGTAGCAAAATATTCACCATCAGGAGACCATTCCATCAAATGTATAGATACTGAGGTTCTAAAAAAGAGAGTTAGGCAATTAGCACTTTTAAAATCTGGTGTACTGCATATAAAAATGGTCAAGATGAGATTTTTGTAACATCAAAGTCAGAATCCTCAGAATAAGACTGTTTTTGCTTCCCTAAAAATATAAATAAAATATTTCACCTCCATAACAGCATAAATTAATTAAAACTAATCCAACATTCACTTTGGGAAAAGAAGAATGTACGTAACATGAATACAGTATATCTCCACCTACATGTCCCACCAACATCCTAAGTATAACATGTTAAAAGCTGAGCTCATAATCATCCCTGACTAGTCTTTGTCACATAATCTATATGACTGTTAACAGTACATCTTCCACTTGAAAGAGTGGCTGGCAACTTTCACATCTTCCCCCTCCCCATCCTTATCTCAATCTATTAATGAGTAATTCCTATGTATCAACCCTGTCAACTCCTGTCCTGGGGCTATAACTATGAAAATACTTTCATCCTTTTTATAAATGATTAACTAGCACAAATTAAAGAATGCTATTATATGGGTTTTGGTTAGTAAAAAAATCTACTTTTTAGGCCTCTATATGCAATGGTACCATCAAAAAATAAAGATCTTCGTGAAAGGAAACATATTTTAGGAACCATTTGCTTTTAATTAATGAATATAACAACAGAAATAGACACTAACTTGCACTGCCAGACGCACTTCCAATCATTTAAAACAGGAGGAATTTTATTATCAATTTCTTCCTCCTCTTCCAGAATATCATCTCCTGGAGGAGCCCACAACTGAATGGAATCAGTTGCTGTCAACAATCTATTATCTGAAAATTAAAGAAAGTTATGATGAATAGGCAAATATTATATAGGGAAATACATGCACATGGGCTTCTGTTTAGATCTGTAAACTATTAACATTAAGTGAAAAGTAAGCAATATCACCAATGAAAAACACTTGATATATATCTATATTTTAAAGTCCCTTAGAAGAAAAAAAAGAATCTTCTGGACAACAAAGAGTAGTTCTTAAGGAAGATTTGAGAGCAACAAAGTAAAGCTTACTGGCAAAGAGCTATTATTATCAAGCAAGTCAAAAAAACTAACAGCAAACGTATTAATAGAATAACAAACTCCCCAAAACTCTGATATATACCACATAAAATGTCCTCAAAATATAAGGCATAACTACAAATTAATAAAATGTAGTTTTATACATGAAATATAAAAATAATCCTTATTGTGAATATAAAAAGGGACAACAGCTATTATCATTAGAGGTTCCTAATTTTTCAAAATTAAAGATAGCAATTTCCCAATACAAATGATAAAATGAGTTCAAGTTTTTTCGGTCTCTGTTTTATTTCCAACGTGTTTCTTAGCAAATACAACAAGAGGAAAGGGCAGCACACGGTAACTAGGAAACAAATCATAACTATTTCTTGAAACAAAACACTGAAAGGCAGGGGAAAACACAGAATAGTAAATTAAGCATTGTACAAAGCACTGTATACCAAGAAGGAAAAATTGTATTTGTCAACAAAAAGAAAATATAATATATTGATCATTTTCTTTTTATGGGAGACTATATCACATTATTATCATACATCTAAAACAAATATTTAATTTAAATAATTTTAGATATAATTGCTAAATACCTTGAGGATCCCATGCTAAGTTGTACGTCACAGAACTCAAAAAAAACTGCCCAGTTTTAAGCCACTGGCACTTGAGTTGCTGAAATATGTAGACAAAAAGAAATAAGAAAAAAAAAGATGTTTTTAAAATAATATCCCAAAACACTACCATTTTATCATTTTCTTCAACTTAAGACCTTATGATCTGAAACAAAGATGAAAATATTTCACTATTATTTTCATATACTGTTTTTAATGTAACTTTAACTGGTTCCACTACTATTTATTATACCATATTGAGCTCCTTGCTATGCCCAAACAAAGCAGGTTCTCTCAGGCTTCCTTCCATGCCCATAAATACCTTCTTATATTTAGGATATCCTATTCGTCACGTCTCCATCTGCAAACCCCTACCTTTCCACTATGATTAGCTAACTCATCATCTCTGCTATGAAGCCCTCTCTGACATCCTGGCAGCACCAACACCACTTTTACATTCTGCCATTATAACACTGATCACATGGAATTAGTATTTGTTTATACGTGTGACTCTCCCATTAAATTGCAACTCTTCAAGGGCAGAAACTGTGTCATAACAATTTTTGTTATTTTCAGAGTTTGTAATGGCTGGCACAAAGATGTTAAATAAATGTTTATTAACACAAAATAAATGCACATTAGGAAGAAATGCAAATTGTCATAATCCCATGGACTCAATGTCTAAAAGAAAACTAGATATATCTCCCCAAAAGTCAACCTATCTGCACTATATTGTATATGTAATCCACAAACTTTATATCTGAATAATTTCTATCCTATTTTCTTAATATTTTCATTCTAAAAGGTGATTTAAAGTTTAAAAGTCAAAAACCTTTGACATGAAATATATTCTCTAAGTAAACAAAAGTTTATATATTTCTTTGTAGTACATAAATATAAAATGTCCTTTTGTGAGAGGACATTTTTGAAAAGCTTTGCAAAGCTATGTTACCTCAGGCAAGCTATATGTTAACTGCTTGGCAAATAATACTTTTTAAACGGTAATGCCCTTTCGTGTTATAGTATTTTAAGAATATTTAACAATTTTTAAATGTATACAAGGTTTCCTGACTACCTCGAGGCAGAATTTTAAAATACAGCTGCATTCCAACAGTCTGGGAGGCCATGACAGGAGGATTGCTTAAGGCCAGGAATTTGAAACCAGCCTGGGCAACATAGCAAGACCCCCACCCTCTATAAAAAATTTTAAAATTAGCTGGGCATGGTAGCTCATGCCCGTAGACCCAGCTACTTCAGAGGCTGAAGCGGAAGGATCACTTTAGCCCACAAGTTTGAGGTTACAGTGAGCTATGATCACACCACTGCATTTCAGCCTGGGTGACAGAGCAATACTCTGTCTCTAAAAAAAAAATGTGTCGGGCCAGAGGGGTGGGAAATGTGCGTATGTATCTGCAAAGCCTGAACTTCATTATCCAAAAATAATTTTACATTTTATAATCAGAGAAAATGTTATTTTTAAACCCTACCACTGCAGACCAAACAACAATCACAACAGCATAACACGATTTTAAATACTGTCCAACAAATCTATTTTAGTGTAGTAATTAAATAATTCCTAAAATTATAGACATCCCTAACATCCTTTCCTTTAGTGTTCCTTAGAGTGTAATCTGTGGAGCAAGTATCTTGAAGAAATTTGGGGAATGAGACCTGGAAACCTAAATTTTTAGTATGTGCTCTAGGTGACTCTTAAGTAGTCCAAAATTTGAAATCCATTTCATAATACTATTATAGGGAAAGATTAATATTTTAATTTATACTGTTTTAGGGGAATGTAAAAAGATATATCCAAATACATATATTTAACGAAAAAATTCCAAAACCATTTGTTTTAAGGCATTTCACTTAAAAATATACTTTAAAAATTACTTGTAAATATATACTCTGCATTCAGATTTAGCATTTGCAATTTTGATTATTTGTGAGTGATAGTAAAAATTTAATGCATGCAGTACTTTTTAATTCTAACCACATTAGATGTTTTGAACGTTAAGTAAGACAAATATAACAGAGCACCCAGTATGAATCTGAATGGTTCACAATGTGGTATGCTTAACCACTTAGCTGAGCTGGTAAGTTAGCTTTTTAAACTCCTAACTTCTTCATTTGACCAACATTTAGGAATACCTGCTATGTTCCAGATACTTCTTTTTTTTTTTTTTTTTTTGAGATGGAGTCTTGCTCTGACGCCCAAGCTGGAGTGCAATGGCACAGTCCAGGCTCACTGCAACTCCACCTCCTGGGTTCAAGCGATTCTCTTGCCTCGGTCTTCTGAGTAGCTGGGACTGTAGGCGTGTGCCACCACACCCAGATAATTTTTGTATTTTTAGTAGACACAGGATTTCACCATGTTGGCCAGGCTCATCTCAAACGCCTGACCTCGTGTTCCATGCGCCTTGGTCTCCTAAAATGTTGAGATTATAGGTGTGAGCCACCACACCTGGCTGTTCCAGACACTGTTCTAAGTACTGGGGATTCATCAGTGAAAAAAAGAAACAAAGTTTCCTACCCTTATGTACCTTTAGATAACATTCTACATAACAAACAATAATAAATAAATGCTGTAAAAAAAATTTTAAATAGCAAATAAGCGGGGGTACAATTTTTTAAAGGGTGGTCAAGGAAAACCTCATTGTCAACGTATTAGTGAGCAAAGACCTAAAGGATCTATGGGAGCTATCCTTGGAGATATCTGGAGGAATAACATTCCTGACAAAGGAAACAACCAACACAAAGGCTCAAAGAGGGAAGGTTAACTGAGAAACAGTAAAAATGCCAATGTGGCCAGAGTAGAACCAGAGAGGACAAGAACTCAGGAGGTGAGCTCTGAGACGTAGTAAGTGTGGGACTGCGTAGAAGGGAAGTTGTAGTCTACAAAAGGCTTTTGGTTTTTTATCTGAAAGAAGTACGGAGCAGCTGGGCATGGTGGCTCATGCCCATAATCCCAGCACTTTGGGAGGCTGAGGTGGGAGGATCGCTTAGCCCCAGAGTTCAAGACCAGCCTGAGCAACACAGGGAAACCCCATCTCTACAAAAAATTTAAAAAACAGCTGGCCATGGTGGCGCATGCCTGTAGTCCCAGCTACTTGGGAGGCTGAGGTGGGAGGATCACTTGACAGGTTGAGGCTGCAGTGAGCAGTGATCATGCCACTGCACTCCAGCCTAGGGAGAGTGAGACTCTCTCTCAAAAAAAAAAAAAAAAAAGAGAGAGAAATATGGAACCATTACAAACTTTTAAGAAGAGAAATGTCATGACCTGCTCTGTTGAGAATAGAGACTGGGGTTGAAGGCAGCAGGAAACCAGATATCAGATAGAGATTAGTAATCCAGATAAGAAATAAGAGTAGTTCAAACTAAGGTAGATCTCAATTAACACAGGAAATCTCAATTTGCGATATTCTAGAGACTTGGGTTTCTAAAAGCACTAGGGATGTATCCCCAGTGAATGTAAGGATCCTAACATAAAGCACTAGACCAATTTTTCACTGATACTCTAGTCTACGTTCAGCACTAGCTCCTAAGGAGCTTTTATTAACATCAATTGGATTCTAAAGTTAACTAGATTCTAAAAGTATTCTATTATTGGTTAATACTTACACAATTTCTTTTATGAGAATTTATGCCCAAGGGCTCAAATATACAAACAGCATTACCATATGAAGCTGCAATCTAAAAAAGAATAAATATAGCATTAATATCTAGAAAAGGGTAAAATAAAGGTATCTTCCTTTTCATAATAATGTATAAACTGATTATATATAATATAATCTCAATACAGTATTCATGGCTTATTTCCTTCCATAAATATACCTGGAAGTGTACTGGAGTTAAGAGTCTCTCCTCTGTTATCAAAAAATTCAGCAGGCTTTATTTTACATATCAAATACAAGGCTGACCTACTCAAAGAAATCATATTTGGATGGACAGCTGGCAAGATAGCCGAATAGGAACAGCTCTGGTCTGCAGCTCCCAACAAGATGGATGCAGAAAGCGGGTGATTCCTGCATTTCCAGCTGTAGTACCAGGTTCATCTCATTGGGACTGGCTGAACAGTGGGTGCAACCCATGGAAAGTGAGCCGAAACAGGGTGGGGCATTGTCTCACACGAGAAGTGCAAGGGATTGGGGTATTTCCCTTTCCTAGCGAAGGAAAGCTGTGAGAGACTGTACCGGGAGGGACAGAACACTCCGGCCCAGATACTGCACTTTTCCCATGGTCTTCACAACTGGTAGAACAGGAAATTTTCTCTGGTGCTTGGCTCAGCGGGTCCCACACCCACGAAGCCCAGCAAGCTAAGATCCACTGGCTTGAAATTCTCACTGCTATCACAGCAGTCTGAGGTCGATCTGGGATGCTTGAGCTTGGTAGGGGGAGGTACATCCTCCATTGCTGAGGCTTGAGTAGGTCGTTTTACCCTCACAGTGTAAACAAAGCTGCCAGGAAGTCTGAACTAAGCAGAGCCCACCAACAGCTCCCTGGGACAGAGTCCCTGGGGGAAGAGGTGACTGTGGGTGCAGCTTCAGCAGACTTAAATGTCCCTGCCTGACAGCTCTAAAGAGAGCAGCAGTTCTCCCAGTGCAGCATTCGAGCTCTGATACAGGACAGACTGCCTCCTCAAGTGGGTCCCTGACCCCCGTGTATCCAGACTGGGAGACACCTCCCAGTAGGGGCCAACAGACACCTCCTACAGGATAGCTCTGCTTAGCATCTCCCAGAGGAAGAAACAGGCAGCAATCTTTGTTGTTCTGCAGCCTCCACTGGTGATACCCAGGCAAACAGGGTCTGGAGTGGACCTCCAGCAAACTTCAGCAGACCTGCAGCAGAGGGGCCCGACTGTTAGAAGGAAAACTAACAAACAGAAAGGAAGACTATCAACATCACCAACATCAAAAAAAAAAGGTAGATAAATCCATGAAGATGGGGAGAAACCAATGCAAAAAGGCTGAAAATTCCCAAAACCAAAACACCTCTTCTCCTCCAAAGAATCACAACTCCTCGCCAGCAAGGGAAGAAAACTGGATGGAGAATGACAAATTGACAGAAGTAGGCTTCAGAAGGTGGGTAATAACAAACTCCTCCGAGCTAAAGGAGCATATTCTAAACCAATACAAGGAAGCTAAGAACCTTCAAAAAAGGTTAGATGAATTGCTAACTAGAATAACCAGCTTAGAGAGGAACATAAATGACCCGATGGAGTGGAAAAACACAGCATGAGAACTTCATGAAACATACACAAGTTATCAATAGCTGAATCGGTCAAGCGGAAGAAAGGGTATCAGAGATTAAAGATCGACTCAATGAAATAAAGCGAGAAGACAAGATTAGAGAATAAAGAGTGAAAAGAAATGAACAAAGCCTTCAAGAAATATGGGACTATGTGAAAAGACAAAATCTACGTTTGATTGGTGTACCTGAAAGTGACAGGGAGAATGGAACCAAGTTGGAAAACACTCTTCAGGATATTATCCAGCAGAGCTTCCCCAACCTAGAAAGACAGGCCAACATTCAAATTGAGGAAATACAGAGACCACCACAAAGATATTCCTCGAGAAGAGCAACCCCAACACACATAATTGTCAGATTAACCAAGGTTGAAATGAAGGAAAAAATGTTAAGGGCAGCCAGAGAAAAGGTCGGGTTACCCACAAAAGGAAGCCCGTCAGACTTACAGCAGATCTCTGGGAAGAAACTCTACAAGCCAGAAGACAGTGGGGGCCAATATTCAACATTCTTAAAGAGAAGAATTTTCAACCCGAATTTCATATCCAGCCAAACTAAGTTTCTTAAGCAAAGGAAAAATAAAATCCTTTACAGACAAGTAAATGCTGAGAGATTTTGTCACCACCAAGCCTGCCTTACAAGAGCTCCTGAAGGAAGCACTAAACATGGGAAGGAACAACTGGTACCAGCCACTGCAAAAATATACCAAATTTTAAAGACCATCAATGCTATGAAAAAACTACATCAACCAACAGGCAAAATAGTCAGCTAGCATCATAATGACAGGATCAAATTCATACATCACAATACTAACCTTAACTGTAAACGAGCTAAATGCCCCAATTAAAAGACACAGACTGGCAAACTGGATAAAGAGTCAAGATCTATCAGTGTGCTGTATTCAGGAGACCCATCTCACATGCAGGGAAGCATATAGGCTCAAAATAAAGGGATGGAGGAATATTTACCAAGAAAATAGAAACCAAAAAAAAAAGCAGGGATGGCAATCATAGTCTCTGATAAAACAGACTTTAAACCAACAAAGATCAAAAGAGACAAAGAATGGTATTACATAATGGCAAAGGGATCAATTCAACAAGAAGAGCTAACTATCCTAAATATATATGCACCCAGTGCAGGGGCACCCAGATTCATAAAGCAAGTTCTTAAACACCTACAAAGAGACTTAGACTCCCAAACGATAATAGTGGGAGACTTTAACACTCCACTGTCAATATTAGACAGATAATAAGACAGAAAATAACAAGGATACCAGGGCTTGAACTCAGCTCTGCACCAAGTAGACCTAATAGACATCTACAGAACTCTCCACACCAAATCAACAGAGTATACATTATTCTCAGCACCACATCACACTTATTCTAAAACTGACCACATAATTGGAAGTAAAACACTCCTCAGCAAATGCAAAAGAATGGAAATCATAACAAAGAGTGTCTCAGACCACAGTGCAATCAAATCAGATCTCAGGATTAAGAAACTTACTCAAAATCTCACAACTACATGGAAACTGAACAACCTGCTCCTGAATGACTACTGGGTAAATAACAAAATGAAGGCAGAAATAAAGATGTTCTCTGAAACCAATGACAACAAAGACACAACATACCAGAATCTCTGGGACACATTTAAAGCAGTGTGTAGAGGGAAATTTATACCACTAAATGCCCACAAGAGAAAGCAGGAAAGATCTAAAATCGTCACCCTAACATCACAATTAAAAGAACTAGAGAAGCAAGAGCAAACATATTCAAAAGCTAGCAGAAGACAAGAAATAACTAAGATCAGAGCAGAACTGAAGGAGATAGAGACACAAAAAACCCTTCAAAAAAATCAATGAATCCAGGAACTGGTTTTTGAAAAGATTAACAAAATACAAAATACATAGACTGCTAGACTAATAAACAGAAAAGAATCAAATAGACACATTAAAAAATGATAAAGAGGATATCACCAGCGATCCCACAGAAACACAAACTACCATCAGAGAATATTATAAACACCTCTACACAGATAAACTAGAAAATCTTGAAGAAACGGATAAATTCCTGGACACATACACCCTCCCAAGACTAAACCAGGAAGAAGCTGAATCCCTGAATAGACCAATAACAAGTTCTGAAATTGAGGCAGTAATTAATAGCCTACCAACCAAAAAAAGTCCAGGACCAGACGGATTCACAGCCAAATTCTACCAGAGGTACAAAAAGGAGCTGGTACCATTCCTTCTGAAACTATTCCAAACAATAAAAAAAGAGGGAATCCTCCCTAACTCATTTTATGAGGCCAGCATCATCCTGATACCAAAACCTGGCAAAGACACAACCAGAAAAGAAAATTTTACGCCAATATGGCTGATAAACATTGATGTAAAAATCCTCAATAAAATACTGGCATACCAAATCCAGCAGCACATCAAAAAGCTTGTCCATTACGATCAAGTTGGCTTCATCCCTGGGATGCGAGGCTGGTCCAACATACACAAATCAATAAATGTAATCCATCGCATAAAGAGAACCAATGACAAAACCCACATGATTATCTCAATAGATGCAGAAAAGGCCTTTGACAAAATTCAACAGCCCTTCATGCTAAAAACTCTCAATAAACTAGGTATTGATGGAACGTATCTCAAAATAATAAGAGCTATTTATGACAAACCCACAGCCAATATCATACTGAATGGGCAAAAACGGGAAGCATTCCCTTTGCAAACCAGTACAAGACAAGGATGCCCTCTCTCAACACTCCTATTCAACATGATATTGGAAGTTCTGGCCAGGGCAATCAGGCAGGAGAAATAAATAAAGGGTATTCAATAAGGAAAAGAGGAAGTCAAATTGTCTCTGTTTGCAGATGACATGATTGTATATTTAGAAAACCCCATCATCTCAGCCCAAAATCTCCTTAAGCTCATAAGCAATAAACATACGAAAAAAAAATGCTCATCATCACTGGGCATTAGAGAAATGCAAATCAAAACCACAATGAGATACCATCTCACACCAGTTAGAATGGTGATCATTAAAAAGTCAGGAAACAACAGATGCTGGAGAGGATGTGGAGAAATAGGAACGCTTTTACACTGTTGGTGGGAGTGTAAATTAGTTCAACCATTGTGGAAGACAGTGTGGCGATTACTCCAGGATCTAGAACCAGAAATACCATTTGATCCAGCAATCCCATTATGGGGTATATACCCAAAGGATTATAAATCATTCTACTGTAAAGACACACGCACATGTATGTTTACTGTGGCTCTATTCACAATAGCAAAGACTTGGAATCTGCCCAAATGCCCATCAATGACAGACTGGATAAAGAAAATGTGGCACATATACACCATGGAATACTATGCAGTCATAAAAAAGGATGAGTTCATGTCCTTTGAAGGGACATGGATGAAGCTGGAAACCATTTTCTCAGCAAACTAACACACGAACAGAAAAGCAAACACTGTATGTTCTCACTCATAAGTGGGAGTTGAACAATGAGAACACATGGACACTGGGAGGGGAACATCACACACCAGGGCCTGTCAGGGGGTAGGGGGCCTAGAGAAGGGATAGACTTAGGAGAAATACCTAATGTAGATGATGGGTTGATGGGTGCAGCAAACCACCATGGCATGTGTATATCTATGTAACAAACTTACACGTTCTGCACATGTGCCCCAGAACTTAAAAAGTATAATAAAAATATATATATGCACATTAAAAAAATCACATTTTTCATAAGAATTTTATTTTTAATATAAAAACAACTATTAAAAAATACATTTCAAAAGCACACATCTTTGTCAGAAACTTTATAATCCAGTGAAAATAATATAAAATCCATGAGAAAAGCATCAATTAATAACAGGTCTTAAAAATATTTCAAATAAAATGGCCTAATTATACCATCAAACAGAAAATACCAATTGGGACACCATGTAGAGGAAGGAATAGAAAAAACAGGCCAAGAAGAAGTCCGGGAGCCATACACTGCACCTGGGGGAAAGAGCTGAAGAAGACATCTCCAGAGGACTGAAGCAAGAAATTTAGGGACCAGGAGGATTTTGTCCCATGTCACATACCTGATAAGAAAAGACATAAATCCCTCTGTTCCTAGAAACTACCAGAGCCTGTTTTCCAATAATTTCTTGAAGGCTAGTTCCAAGTTCATCCTCCTCTTGGTAAGATGGAATTAACTACAGGGAACAGACCAAAAACCATCCTTTCTGACACCTCTGCACCCCAGTTAACCTTTAAAACTTCATTAGGTATATATTCTTTTAAGGTCTGCCAAAAATATCCCCTGTGATTTTTAAGGCACTGTCATGCCAAAAAGTGATTTTAACTCTTACCTAACATCTAACATTCTTTCCAAGAAAAATCATAATCCACAACAGAAAGCTACTTCAAATAACATGCAAAAAGTGCTGTGAATGATTCCATTCAACATGTCAATGAATGAATGAATGCTTATAACAGACTAATACAAAGTCACGAATGTGAAAGTTATCACCACAAGAACTGGGGGATAAAAGCTAAAGGAAGATGTCAACAAAGACAATAAAGATACTACAATTTTGCCTTATTTACATTAAACCAGCTCAAGAAAAGCAGAAACACAAGTTGCTCTGTTTCCCATGGTATGAATACCAATGTCTTATATACCTTTTTTAAAAATTTTACTCCCAGAGAATGTGTTCATTGCGATTATCACCGGCACTTGAGCTATTTACTAAAATTCACCTCTGACAACTATCATACAACTTTAGGCAGGCTTAAGCTACCTTGCTTGGCCTAGAGAGAAGAGCAACAAAAAACGAGAGAAATCTGACACTCTCCGTGTTTTCTAAAATAAGTGTAAGCAATGCTTGAGGGTGGGGAGTACCTGGGGGGAAAATTAGAAAAGCAAGAAATGAGTATCAGGAAACACCAGGAAATCCAGTGTTCCAATACTAGGTCAAATGTATCACTGAACTGTCAAGTACTGGTACATTTACACAAATATTAAAGCTTGATATGGGCAGTAGGATAGGGCAGGATAAATGGTATAATAAAGTAACCATAATTTACCATTCAGTATAAATTTGTATGATTACTATTTATCAACATGAATATTCTGATTTAACACATCCTTGACCAAATTTGTTACCCAATAAAGAACAATTTCTAGAACACTACAATAGTTTAAACTATTACAATGACTATAGGTAAAAATCTTATTTCTCTGTTCTTCTAGAGACATTCAACTCGGCTACATAAAATTGGCCTTACTGAATTGCTGGAGTATACAGCAAACACGCCATATTGACATGCAACCAAAATTTGATGTACATTATGTTTGAAAATTGTGGGAGAGGTACATATGATGAAATTTTAACTATTTCAAAATAAACCGTCTGTTTTAAAGCCTGAATGAACTATAAGACTCTTCACTCAACAAAAAAAGTTTCATTATGCTAACAGATTTTACAAATCTCTTCCTATATGACAAGCATGATATTAGACATTAACAACTTGCAGAATTTCTTAATACAACTTTGATGTTATAGTATGAGGGATATAAGGGGTGCTAGGTAGAGAAGATAAAAGTTTACTTCCCCTTACTGGCTTAATGGCTGCTAGAAGTAGTAACTGGCAGAATGTCAGTATGCACAGGATTGTAAGGCCTACAGATCTTTGAAGACAGTATACATAGAGCTGTAGAACAATTGTAAAATTATCAGTTTAATGGCACTTTACAATTTGTATAAACCTATCGCTTTACAACTTCTATTAACAGCCACCCAAGCAATACATAAGAAATTTTAGACAAGCTTTGCATAAAAGGATGAGAATATTCTGAGATTATTAAACACATTTTTAAATGACATTTAGTAAAGAAATTAAATCCCTTACTCTTCCTTGTTGGTTAGAACACTCCACACAGCTGACTTGGATGTTTCCATGCTTAGCACCAGGAATGATCTGTACACATTCAAAGTCATTTGCCAAAATAACAATATCACAGCCTGATCCATATGCCTAAAAAAAAAAAAAGTTTTACAATATATAAGATACATAACTTTTGAAACCTTATTACATAATATTTTATCTTAGATTTTATTGCCATTATAAAGTATACCTTGGGACATTTTCCAAAATAGTTAATATAAGAATATCAATTTCTAAATAAGAACATTAAAAATCACATGAAAAAAAACTGATGACACTCCATGCATTATCATTCAACAACTGTTACTAATAGGAAAAGGGTTCTTCCCGTTCTTAAACATGACATCCTCTGTTCCTGCAGGTCATAAATTATTCTGTTTAGACTTTCTCTCCAAAGTTCATCTCAGTAAACTCTAAAGTATAAAAGCTCCATCTAAAAATACTAAGACATTGAAGACTGCAACTGTGTTCCCAGGGTTCAAACCAGACTTAAGAAACATCAAGATGGAAATCAGGCATGCATTTTCCAACACAATTCCACATGCCTTAAAGAGCTAGTGAAGTAGACATGAACAACAAAGGCAGAATTACATGTACTAAGGCAATGGCTAAACTTAAATGCATCAATGACTCAAATGAATCCATAACGCAGCCTGCCTCCAACATCCACCATCCATCCCCAACATCATCAGGCCTGAGGGAGAAAGGAAACCAACCCAAAGTTGTTTTACCAAAGGTAAAAAAAAAAAGTCAAATAAAACATAAAATGAACAAATTTATATAGAATATTGGGCAAATATCCCTATATGGTCTGGAAAACAGACTACAAAACAGAAATTGTTGGGAAAATTCCCATGTCCAACTCTAATAAGTAAAACCACACATTTCTTCCTATTGCAACACTTCTTGCTGTATGCTATTCCTGTTTTGCAACGTTGTGAATTTTATGACATAAGGGTCAGAGAGTGGGGACATTTTTCTTTTTCTTCCCAACTATTTATGATTAAATATTCAAAACAACCTAACAACCCAATTCTCAAAAGAAAAGCGCCATTAAAAGCAAGATAAACATAAAACTTATGAAATGGTATTTTCCTCTCTGTTTCCACACCCTTAAGCAATGTGGTTATGACCTACAAAATAGAGATATCCAATAGCAGGGCTGACATGTGATGACATCCGAATCAGTGACCCATGCCCTGAAGGGGTCCATATAAGGCTGCTAATGAAAGACGGAAATGAAGATAAAGACCAGACAGGAAGACAACATTACTTCTACTAAAACTTCCAATGTTACCAAAATCCTGCCGTAACCACTATATAAACCATCTTAAACCATGTGTTTATAAAAATCAAAAAGTTCACCAAAAGAAAAGCAAAGACAGAATTTTAAGCAAGAAAAATAGAGAAAAATCACTCACAAGAGGAAATGATCACTTACATTCTTACAGACAAGGCCGACTTGGTTATACCATGAATTCAGGAAAGCCAAACTGAAGAATATTGAGTATATGCAGAAGAAATGTTTCAATCACCATGCTAATTTTTAAAGTATAGTATTAAAATAACAAAAATCATCTTACACTTGAGTAGCAATTTCAAAATTTCCAACATGCCTTATATCATTATCTCAGCAAAGTGGATTCATGGAAAAAGCACAGACTTTATCTAGTTTGAAATCACACACACAGTTTTCAATTTTGGTTATGCCATGCTGCACTATCTTAAGAAAGTTATTTAAGTTCCCTGAGCATTTCCTCATGGTAAAATAAAGCAAATAATACTTGTCTCTTAGGATACTTATGAACAGTAAAATGGAAAATGTACACAGTCATTTAAGTAACAGAATAGTGCAGCAAGTCTCGAGTCTGGGCTAGTGACTGGGAACACTAAAGTACAAGACATGGTCCCAGTTACTCTAATGGGGAGATGACTAGGTAAATTACTAATTAAAGCTAAATGACAAACTGCCACGACAGAGATAGCCATAAAATACTAGAAGACAGAAGAGGTACTCAACAAGTGTTGTATCATTCTCTCTTTAATCTTTGCAACAAACCTGGAAGGTAGATATTATCATTATATAAAGAAAAATTCAAGTTCATTAATTTGCCCAAGATTACAGTTACTAAATGCAAAGTGTTCAAACTCAGGTCCTCACAATTTTTACATTCTTTTCCCTACATTATATATCAAAAAGACATAAAACATTCCAGATAAATATTACTATACTTTGTTTCTCTAAAGATGGGCCATCCCTAGCAACTGCTACTTAAGATAAATTCACTCTTACAGCTCAGTCACTGAAAAGGCTTTTTACTCTTCCCTAGATAACCATAATTGCCTGATGTTTTCCAGAGGATGTGTACTATACTCCATTTTTCTGATCCGGCAATAGTTCAAATTGGAGGCATCAAAATCACCTAGGAAACTTGTCAAAAACACAGATTGCTCAGTCCCACTCCAGACTTTAAATTAAAATCTGCATGGATAAAATAATTTGGCAATATCTATCAAAATCTTAAATACAATATACCTTTTGATCAAATATTCCCTATTTTACCCTAATAGTCCCTATTTTGCCCTACTTATATACATATATGTATAAAAGTTTGCCAAAATATATGTAGGACATTCAGTGCCTCAGTATTTATAGTAGCAAAAACTGAAAATAATTATACCACTCATCAGTGAGGAGTAGTTAAATAAATTACTGAATTACATTGGAATACTATACAGCTACTAAAGGTTAAGAGGTTGGGTACAGTGGCCCATGCCTGTAATCCCAACACTTTGGGAGGCCAAGGCAGGAGGATCACTTGAGCCCAGGAGTCCACGAATAGCCTGGGACACACAGTGAGACTTCATCTCTATAGAACATCAAAAAATTAGCTTAGCATGGTGTCACATGCCTGCAGTCCCAGCTACCTGGGAAACTGAGGTGAGAGGATCACTCAAGCCCAGGAAGTCAAGGCTGAAATGAGCTATGATTGCACCACTGCACTCCAGCCTGGGTGACTAAGTGAGACCCTGTCTCAAGAAAAGGAAAAAAATAGAAAGTTTAAAGACCACTGGTTTAGAATGGTTTCAATCCCCCTACCAAACTAGTAATTCCCATCAAAATGGAACAACGTATGTCTGGTGCTAGTTTCCTGTTGAACCAGAGTTAGGCAATACCTACCATTTTATATAATAACCATGATTACTGCTAGAATGGAATCTCTTAAACTATTGCACACTAACAGCTTGAAAAAGTGCACAGGGGCATTTTCCAAAGAGTCTAATGCATAAATAACCCAAGTGTGGAAGAAAAAGGGACTCATATAATCAGTCAGTACTGAATCATGTGTATTCTGTAACTGAGGGCCCATGAGATTTTAATGGCTTTAAGGCATGTTTAATGTCTGTCTGGTTCTCACTATACTGAATGGTTCATCAGAGGAAGGACCTCACCTTGTCCTTGTTTACCACTGTAGTTCCAACACCTAGCACATAAGCAGCTCTCAATAAATAGCTGTGTAATAAATTAAGTCTTTCTAACCGAATGTCTGGCTCCAGAAGTCTAAGCACTTAGAAACTTAGTCAAAGAACATGGAGTTGAAACACTGACACTGTCTTGTTGCTAACAATTTGGCCAACCTATCCTCATAAGCTTAAGAAAAGAGGGAGAGATTTTGACTGATTTTTCAGCTAACAGTATCAACAAATGTAGAAGTTCTACTAGAAGAGAATCTACCTAAGCCTTCCTTACAATTTACCATTTACTGAATACCTACTATGATCAAGCTGTTTTGCTAGGATCTTTACAAAAATTATCATTATCTTCACAGGCCTGCTTTTGAAGACGGAGAAACTGAAGCCCAGAAAGGATAAGTAATTTCCCCTAGTTCACAGAATGAGGATTCATTTGCTTCACAGTAAAGTTCCTGCTGTTTCCACTGCACTGCCCTACCTCTAGTCCATGAAGATCTTGTTGGTGCTAGAAGGAGTATGTTCATCTTTGTAATCCCAATTAATTTACCACATCATGGAGCACAGAATAAGCATTCTGTAAAGACCAACAGTTTATACAAAAGCGATAATTTACTCAAAAGATTCCCATTCTCTCAATTTTAGACAGATCAAAAGTGATTTTGTTCCATTCTTTTTCAGAATCCAGTATTACCAGAGGAAGAATGTATAGTGCAGGAGGAAAACAGGGTGCTCGTTAAGACTATAAGTAAATACTAAATTGACCCCAGAGAGTATGGATGTGGGCTCCTTTGTGTTAGATAAATGAAATACTTCTGACTAAGCTAAGTTAGTAAAGTTAGTAAACTAACTTCTTCACATGTGGGAGACAGGTCACAGGATTATTATAGGGAGGCAAGGAAAAGGACAGCAAGCCTTTTCTGGAGAAATGGAATCGCTTGACTGGATTATCCCTCCTTGGATTCTTTGTAGAGCTGACCTATGCCAGAGCACAATATACCAGTGTCCTGCTCTTCGAACAGTACTGACCTATAAAACACTTTATCTAGAAATCAAGGATATGGTTCAGTCCCTACCCACAGAGAAGGCCCAAGAAAAGAGGAAGGGTCTTAGAAAAACTATTTTCCTTCCATTCATGTGGGAGGATTTGTTTTATAAAAGTACTACACGGATGATAATGATTAGCTGATATTAGTAATTCATAACTAAGAGATAATTCTGTAGCATAAGCTGTTACATCCAAAATAAAACTTTAAAAATATTAACCCTCACTTGTTATAATCCTATTCTTAGAGACCAAATCCATCCTATTAGGAAAGAGAAAAGTATTCTCTGCTTTGAACATTGAAACTAAAAGTTTTCAACCTGAAGTCTAATAAACGTAGTCATAGATGGCCTCAGTAGGTCTCTGAACTCCTAAAAATTGTATTTAAAGTTGTGTGAATGTGTTTCTTTTCTTTGCTGTGGTATTATTACCACAATAAAGATATTGCTGCTTTCTTTAGAGCAGGGGCCCCCAATTCCTACCACCAGTCCATGGCCTATGAGGAACTGGGCCTCAGAGTAGGAGGTGAGCAGTGAGTGAGTGAGCATTACTGCCTGAGCTCCACCTTCTGTCAGATCAGTGGTGGCATTAGACTTTCATAGGAACACAAGCCCTATTACAAACTGCACATGCTAGGGACCTAGGTTGCATGCTCCTTATAAGAATCTACTGATAAACATAATGTGCTTGAATCACCCCGAAACCATCCCTCTCCCTCACCACTCGCTGTAGAAAAACTGTCTTCCACAAAACCAGTCCTTGGTGCCAAAAAGGTTGGAGACCGCTGCTCTAGAGGGTTTAATGTCCTCATGAACAATGCAAACTTTGGGATCACTGACAACTACTGACAGATGCGTCTAAATTTAAAAGACAAAAAAAGCACTGATAAGGAGTATTAGACATGTTAAGAGGACTTTTAAAATGCAGTATGAAGAGGCATAACACACTCACTCAGTCTTCTCTAACTTTAGTTTTATATATAATTGTCTTAACTACATTATTTTCAGAAAAGAAAACTAATACTCTAATCCCACAAACACTTCTAATTTCTCAAATTTCCTTTATGTCTCAGATAAATTGAAGTGGAGAGTAACAAAATGAAAACTTTTAAAAACCTTAAACAAACATGACCACATTTCCTATGAAACTACAGCATACAATAGATTAATTACATTGGCATTCACTATAGAATAGTTGGATGTTTTAACATCCTGGAAGTTACAGGGTCAAAGCTTGAGATCATTGATAACTACTGGTATGTGTCTAAACTTCAAAAACCAAAAAAAAAAAAAAAAAACTCTGATAAATGAAGGTGTAATAAGCATGTTGACAGGTTTAACGAAGTACTATAATCTTACCAAGAATACTATATCAAGAGTGTTACTATTAAACTCCCACCTCTCCCTGGGAGTGAGTTTTGATCACTGTAAATGTCTACTTTTCTACAGAAGAAGGCACATCTTATTAAGACTTAGAAAACCTATTCAACATAGTGTTGGAAGTTCTGGCTAGGGCAATCAGACAAGAGAAAGAAATCAAGGGTATTCAGTTAGGAAAAGAAGAAGTCAAACTGTCCCTGTTTGCAGATGATATGATTGTATATTTGGAAAACCCCATCATCTCAGCCCAAAATCTCCTCAAGCTGACAAGCAAATTCAGCAAAGTCTCAGGATACAAAATCAGTGTGTAAAAATCACAAGCATTCTTATACACCAATAACAGACAAACACAGAGCCAAATCATGAATGGACTCCCATTCACAATTACTTCATCATAGGAACACAAGCCCTATTACAAACTGCACATGAAGGGTGTCGATGTTCCCTTCTGTGTCCGGTGATCTCGTTTTCAGTTTCCCATCTTGAGTGAGGAGAATGACGGTTTGGTTTTCTGGTTCTTGTGATAGTTCTGCTGAGAATGATGGTTCAGCTGCATCCAGTGTCGCCTACAAAGGTATGAACTCATCCCTTTTATGCTGCATAGTATGTCCAGTGGTTATATGTGCCACATTTTCTGAATCCAGTCTGTCAGTTGTAGTGGATGCATTTGGGTTGATTCAAGTCTGTTGCTAGTTGTGGTAATGAGTGCCCGCCCGTTTGTAAACATATGTGTGCATGTGTCGTGTCATAGCAGGCCATGGGATTTATAATTCTTTTGTGGGTATATACCCCGGTAAATGGGAGGCCTAGGTCAGAATGGGATCTAGTTGCGAGTCCTGAGGAGATCCGCCGACACTGTTTTGACCACAATGGTTGAACTAGGTTTACGCAGTCCACTCAAACCAGGTCTACACAACCGCGTGCTTCCGCTATTTCCGTCCACCATCCCGTCTCCAGCCGCGGCGTGATGTTTACATGATTGCCATTCGTACTGGTATGACGATGGTAATCTCATTGTAGTTTTGATTGCATTTCTCTGATGGCTAGTGGATGATGAGCATTTCTTTCACTGTGTCTGTGTCTGTATATATATGTCTTTGAGTAGTGTCGTTTCATATCCTTGCACCACTTTTGCTGGTGGTATTGCTTTTTCCTTGGTTAAATTTGTCTGAAGTTTCTTTTGTAGGTCTGGTATTCAGCCCGTTCTCTAGTATGGAGTAGATGGCAAA